TGTTCAACCTGGAGAAAAGAAGGCTGTGGGGAGACCTGATTGCGGCCTTCCAGTACCTAAAGGGAGCCTATAGGAAAGATGGGGAAAATCTTTTTAGTAGGGCCTGGTGTGACAGGACAAGGGGTAATGGTTTTAAACTAAACCAGGGTAGGTTTAGACTAGATATAAGGAAGAAATTCTTTACAATGAGGGTGTTGAAACACTGGAACAGGTTGCCCAGAGAGGCAGTGGAGGCCCCATCCCTGGAAGCATTCAAGGCCAGGTTGGACGGAGCTCTGAGCAACCTGATCTAGTTAGCGGTGTCCCTGCTGACTGCAGGGGGGTTGGACTAGAGGACCTCTAGGGGTCCCTTCCAACCCAAAACATTCTATGATTCTAAATACTGCAGGCCATGTTTCGCAAAAGCTAAAGCTTCTCATCTCATCTTTGCCTATTGGCAGTTTTGTTGCTCTAAAGATGAGTAAGAGGAGACAAAGAACCCCCAAAATGATGTTAGGTTGGAAATCAATGTCTTTTTGTGTGAGTAATTGTAGAACCTTAATAAGGCACGATTTTGAGAACACTTCAGACAAAATTGTTTCAGTGTTGTTTGACAAAATCGGAGTTAAATAGGTCTGTGATTTCCACTGCTTAGCTTTGTGAATAATTTAGTATTGGCTCTTCATCCTCAGGAACATAAGAACAAATCTGAATTCATTAAGTTGTAGATGTTACACTGGTTTGTGTGCCTATATCTTATGTGAATTAAATGGATCTCTGAAATGGAAGAGAAAATACTGTATCTCCATCTGTTTTAGAAATTTTTTAATGCACAGTTATAGTTCTTTTGGAATATATATGCTTGAATGTGTACAGACTGCAAAGAACATTTAAGGATGGTGTAATTGGTTTTCTAACATAACACAAATAGTAAGATTTTCTTAAATAATACACTGTTCCACAAATGAAATACTTTTACTATAGAAACAGTTTACACATTTTTGAAATTAACCAGGTCATTAGTTTATTCCTCTTTGGTTCCTGCCTGTCCACACAGGTACATTTTGTTACAGGATTCTAAGATGAAACATAACATTTTTTTTAAAAAAAGGAATATCAGTTTCAAGAGACAAGCCATTCGGGTTTGACTGTAATGATCAAAATTCTAGAGACAGTTCTGCTAAGAAACATTGACAATTAAACAGCAAGCAAGACGAGATTGCGACTGAACTTGTGGGTGTCTCAGCATGCTTATTCCATGTTAGCAGAGCTGGTACGGCAGTCCAGAATACTTAATAGGGCTAGAAAAAGTGATACACTTACTGGATTTCTTACAACTTCTAAGCAATTAGCAGAGCAGAGTTGTAGCAGCTGCAAGAGCATCTGCCATGTAAAGGGGAGATCTTCTCTTTGGCAGTCAGAATCTATACCATCCAGTGTGGCTGTGGATTGTGTGTTCCGTGCTATTACTTGCCTTCAGTGTGCCACCTTAATTATATAGTAAGACTTAAGTGCTTTCATTGTCATTCTTAAAAATTTGCAGCTTTAAAGGTCTCTTGCATTAATGCTAGATGGTAGGTAGAATTGAAGATAATTCAGTATTCTTTTGAACCTGCAGTTTCAAATTCTGACTTCTTTTTTTTTTTTTTTTTTTTTTATCTTTAACATTTTAGGGTTCAGTGGGTGAACCAGGACCTAAGGGTGAACAAGTAAGTCATGTTACAGGTCATGGTGCTTTCAAGTCACACTAGCAAATGCTGCAGTATATTATGTTGACTAAATCTGAAGGCCAATAATATGTCTTCTATTGACATAGGGTGCACCTGGAGCAGAAGGAGACGGAGGAGAAAAGGGTGACTTGGTAAGACATTATTTTATCTCCACCTCATCTAATATTTTGTTGTCGTAAATTAAAATTTTAAAGTATTGTTGGAGTGCTTCAAGCGTATGGTTTGATCATTGAAAGTCACATTTCACTTTTATACTAACTGGGCATTGCAGAGCAGGGCTGTTCTATTAACTCTGAAGTATGCATATTTTGTTAGGTGTGTATAGTACAGTCCAGGCTGCCTTGAAGGGTGCGTGTGTGTGTGTGTATATATGCATACATATATATACACACACATAGATAGATACATATTTAGAGATACACCAAGTGCTTGTATATAAATATATATATATGCATATACACACACACATATAAATTCTTGGTGTTTGAGGCAGTGAGGGTGAGGAGGTAGTTTAATTCAGGTGAAACAGGAGCATAGATAGATAAAAAATGTCCTTGACAGGTCAGACTTGATGGAAATATTTTGTATTGCTTTTATCTTTGGAAATAAGATGTAGCAACTGGCTGTTAGGGAGAGGAAGAGTGGTCTGGAAAGAGACTGTGTCACTGTGATATTGCTGGAGGAAGGTGTATATACTGCAGGAGTGCAGCATGTTGTGAATTCACATGGGTAATGCCTGAGTCATGTGCCCTTGTGTAAAGAGAATTGATTTTCCTACTGATAGAGCAATGCACTAGTCCAGCAGCTCCTATGGGGCCCCATCCAGCAAAGCCAGAACTTGCTCTTTCAAAAGGAAGTAAACGTCTCCCTATTTATAAAACAGTACCCAGTTTATGTGCTGGAAATGAACACGTTTTTCCTACACTCAGCAATTCTGAAAGGCTTTGAAAAGTTAATTAACAGCCCTAGTGAGCTGTCCAGTAACGCAGCTTTACCATCACTATGCAGATTCCCAGGAAGCAATACTATGGGTTGTTTAAGTGTGCTGCCAGTTAGTCTGGTTTTAAACTGATAACAGTTGCTATTTCTACTTCACTTATGGCATATTCATTAACAGACAAAGTGGCTTTTCTGACCTTTAGAAACCAATTATTTCACAATGACATTTAGGAACTGGGAAAATACAATTTTCAGAAATCTCTGCAAGAGTAATATGAAAACACCAGTGAAGATGAGTTCATATATTTAATAGGTGATTACAAGATTTTGAAACATTTTTTTTTCCCCAGTTCAAAGGGAAAACTAAAAACTTCTGAACAGTTGGACTGCTATAGACAGTCAAGTGATAGAGGGGTCTCAGGGCTGTTCAAACCAGGAGCCAGGTTGCTGGGAACAGGAACTTCTAGGGGTTTGGCTTCTTTGCAGCACATTGGGCAGACACCTACGTGGTTTCTGTTGCAGTTTTGTCAGCACTAACACAACACTGTATAATATCTGTAAATCTGGAAAATTCTGATTAAATAATGCTTCCTCTAAAGGTTTCCAAGTGATCTGCTAAGATTGTCCTGTGCCATAGCTATGGGTTGGGAGGTTAGAGCCATGTGTCTAATTCTAAGATAAGCAATACAAAACCAATTATAGTAAACACGCTTTATATTTGTACCTTATAGGAATGTTTTTGAGAAAGAATTTTTGCAAAAAACTGCCTGAAATTTAAGGTTTATTTCCAAATGAATTGTAATTTGAGGTGGAATTTTGCATACATCAACTAAATATGTGAGGTTCTTTTTTAACAGTGAAAAAAAATCATGTCAATTTTTCTGCTTTTGTAATGTCTGCGATAATGGATACTCTCTCCTAATATGGTTTGTCTTGCTTTTGTGCAGGGTGATATGGGATTACCAGGAGCAAAGGGAGCTGTAAGTATAATGAATAGCACTGTTACAGAAATGTAAGTATCTAGCAGATTAGATAGATGGTTTTCTGATTTATGAAAGAAAATACAAATAATGAGCTGAGTGCTTTATGACAGTTAAATTATTTCCAACAGCATTTCTTCTGTTTAAACTTTGAATACAGTTAATGTTAAAATGAATTCGCTTTGGAAAGGCATTCACATCCTGGATTCTAAGATCCATAAAAAAGAAGCATTATTCAACAGCAGTTTTCTGGCCAACCAATTATTTTTTTTAAAGGAAATGAATGCACTCTTTGTACAGTAGGTGTTGTGTAGAAAGGAGGCCCAATGCAGTGGCTGTGTGCAGCCTGTAATCTTTACACTGTGAAGAAGCTGGCAGCAACTGTGATGTCTGTGAAAGCAGACGTATTTATGGCCCAGATTCCTCTTTTTTTTTTTTTTCCTTTTCTTTTTAGAAATAACCAAATGGTAGCTTTGATGTGGATAGTGAGCAGAAGCTTGTATGTCACATAAGAAAAAGAATTTGAGAGCTGAACGCATTCTTTTATTTCAGGATCACTGAAGAGTGGGATTGCTATAGCAGCTGACAGTTTGGGCTAAGCTACTATCGTACCAACAGTTCTGTCTACAGGGACCTGAGGCTGAACGTAGCAAAAAGAGCTACGCTTGTGTTCTCAGTGGCCTGTGTGACTTTGGGGCTAAGCAAATGCAAGCTAGAGAGTGTTTACTGCTGATCAAGATCTTGCAGAAAGGACATGAGGAAGAGCTAGAGTAGAGGAGAAATCTGTAGTTTTATCCCTCTAGATTTTTAAAACCCTCTTCTTTCGAAGAACCCCTAGAGTACTTGTCATACTAGTAGTACAGACACAAGGATGAGTAATCCATCGGGGAACCTGATAACTCACCAGGCTGGGGAAGAAAGAAATGATGGTTTCCTGGTTGTATAGTCCCAAAGGGAATTTTGCTGTCCTCTGAATAAATCTGCTGAAGGGTGTTCTTTGAGTTTTCTTCTGAGAGGGACAGCAGTCAGCTGTCTGAGATGCAGCATAGATGGAACGGAAATGGCTCCACCTTGTGGATTTAACTGATACCACAGTTGAGTAATTCGCCATATTTTGAACATCTGTTTCAGCAAGCAGGTGTTGGTTTTATTATTTTTTTTCCCCAGTAGATTTGGGAAGCTGTAAGTATGTAGGAGTTTTTTCTGTTTGTTTTGGTTTGGGGGTTGGATTTTGTTGTGGCTTTGTTTTGGTTTGGTTTGGTTTTTTTTGCTTTTTGGTTGTGTTTTTTCTTTGTTAGTACTACTATTGATTAATAGCAGTACAATAACTTGCATTGAAAGTCACTTGAAGGTATCTATAGGTGTAGTCACTATGAAAGGGAATGAAAGGCATTTGGAACAAGCAGGGAGCTGGAATTTTTGTAACCTAAGGAGCACTTAATGTCTAGAAAAGTTCCATGTGACGTGCATGAGGACAGAGAAGTAGAAACCAAGTATAGGAGATTGTTCTTTGAAAAAAAAAAAAAACCCAACCAAACAAACCAAAACCACCAAACCCCCCATGTCTTGTGCATGTCACTATGGATGCCCATTTGCCTCTTTTGACAGAATATCTTTTTTTTCCCACTGCTCCCCTTTAAGGGAGGATTACAGACCTCTTTTTAAGTTTATAAATCACACAACCATTGTCTCCAGTTGCTTATTTAAAAAGAAGCTGTTCAACAACTCTACATCCCAGAGTTCATTGCTTTGCATTTGTGAATAGCTCATCACCATTTTGATATGTCAGAATGAGTCTAACACCAGTATAGCAGTCTGTTGAAAATCTTCTCTTTCATTGTCAGGTTGGTAATCCTGGAGACCCTGGTTCCCGTGGGCCTGAGGGAAGTCGGGGACTGCCTGGCATGGAAGGGCCACGAGGCTCACCTGGACCACGAGGCTTGCAGGGTGAACAGGGTGCCCCAGGTCTGCCTGGCAGCCAAGGTCCAGCTGTAAGTACTGTTTTAATGTGATTGGTATCTTTTTGAATTCTTAGCTATCACTCACACCACTCCTTTATTTGCATCAGGAGCTACATACACATGCAAAATACAAGTGCCACAGTAGAGTCTGAAATACACTGTACCTCACCACAGGTACATTTGTGCACCAGAGAAATCTTAGGGTTGTGTACAGGTAGGTGGGTCCTCAGGTCCTCAGCATTCAGCTCAGTTCCATTTTCTTATGCCCCCCCGCACTGCTGTAGTGCACATGTACCAAGTTTGATATGTGGGTGTATCACACATAGTATCTACCTTGCTAGTCAAATTGACTTCGGCTGAAATAGTTGCACCTGCAGAAACTGGAACATCTTTTATTGACCAGCCAGCATTTTTCACATTAGGCACACTTATAAAATGTACTGTGATATCAACTGTTTTTTAAATGATTACTTTTTTAATCCTAGGGAAAAGAACCAACTGATCAGCACATTAAGCAGGTTTGCATGAGAGTCATGCAAGGTAAATATGCTAAAAAGTATTTGATGTTTCTTGTGCATTTAAATCAGGATAACCTACTGTTGTGGAAGCAACCAAGTCTTTCCCACTCTTATCCAGAACAAATAGCATGGCCTCAGCAGGGAACCAGGCAGAAAATCTTCCCACATGTGAATGTGGACACAATATGAGAGAATATGAGAAAGCAGTCCCTTATTTTATATATAATTTGCAGTCTCGTTGAAATACCTGTTGGTGTCACACTGTTACTATAGTAACCAGGTGATAGACCAGAGTGTTTTTATGAAATACATATATTTTGTGTAGAAATCACTTGCTATGTTTACTTATATAAGAGTACATGGCTTCACTGAAAGCTTGTTTTGCCATTTGTACTCATATACTATTAGATTACAGCAAACAAACTATGTGCAAAAAAAAAATAAGAGGAGTGCAGAGAGAGGCTTTCTGTAGATAACATACCATAAAATGAAAGCACTAGGCAGATGTTCAAAACCCTAATTGTATTTGCTCAGTTCTTCTTGACACACACAGAAATCTGGAGCTTTTCTAATACAGCTGGGTGCATGGGACTTACTGAGTTAAAAAATTTATGCTGCCCTGCAAGCACAAAAGATACTTTTCAGTATTTGCTATTGAAGATGCCCTTAGGGCTATTATGCCTTTGTAATGTTAAGTGTTTACCAGAATGAAATTACTGCTCATGATTTAATCTAAAAATTATCAGTAGTCATCGCTGTTCTTGATACTGCCCAACAGGGTATTTTTTTTTTTAAACATTTTATAAATAGGATAAAAAGGCCTTTTAAAGTGATCTCTTGAAAGACACAGTAATATCGAGGAGGATTATAGTGGAACCAGAAACGATGCTTGAATTTATTCATAACCATCAGAATTAGCAGTGAAGAGAAGGATATGGGAAAAATCTAGACTGTCTTCATTGCACCCCTCAAGAGGGCCCCTATAATTGTCAATGCTGTCATGCTTAAAAAAAGACAAAAGTAAAAAAAAAGAAAAAAAGAAAAAAAGAAGAAATCAGTACAATGTGTCCCTGGAATCTTGTCAGCTTAAAGACAACCATAACTGGTGTTCGGCTCCTGAGTAGGCTTTGCCCACAGATTGCTATCCCTAGTCTTCCTCATGTACCTGCTACCCATGTTCCTGTTTTATTTCAGATCCTTTGCACCACCCCACCCCCATCTTCTTAATTTTTCTTGGTTGCGGACACAAAATAACTAGTCTTGGCAAGTCACGCAGACTTTAGAGCAAATGTCATATGGAGTTGTGTGTGGCTTTATCCAGTGAAAGTTATTTCTAAGCATGTTTGGAAGATGGATTTAAAGTCTAGAGTAGAAACTTCAAGCAAATAGAGGACTGCTCTCATGCTGTTACAGCAGTGGCCCCAAAGGGGGATGAGGAAAAGGGAATAGCTAGCTTAGACCATTCAAAGGAATGGCAAGCTGATCCTATGCCTAACGAAGAGCAAAGCTCCTGCTGATTTACCTTAAGAAAAGAGCATCATAAAATTCTCAGTGATTTATCAAACCCGAGCTCATGAGCACCAATTTGAGGGGTTTCTTCCCTCTGAAAAAGAAGGCCTGCACTTACTTTCCAGGCTAATGTAGATGGCTGCCCTCATGCTTTTCAGCTGTTCCTTCTTGCAAAGATGGGTCTTAATGAGGTTTAACAAGCAGAAACGGAGAGGTACTTGCTCTTTTAAGAGACAGCAATTGCATGAGTAAGTTTTCTTGCTAGATGGTTGAAATTTAAATGACATAGAAAATTATAAGGACATTTCTGAATCAACCATATACTTTTAAGTCATTTCAGCTTGCAAACATTAAATGTTTAAGATGTAGGCATCAGAGTGACCAGCTTCGCAGTGTGACTACGCAGTTTCCCTCTAGTAGTACTCAGATAATATTTTATATGTAATAAACTTTGTAAATAGCGTTGTACATAAGGAAGGTGCTGTACTGTGACCTGTTGGTTTTTATAGCAGAGAACACATGTTCTTCAGTGAACATGAGAATCTCTCCATTCAGATCCACTTACTGCTTAATTCTGCCCTCCTGTTCACTGCAGAACAACTAGCTCAGCTGGCAGCCAGTCTTAGGAGGCCAGAATTTGGTGCTCCAGGTCTTCCTGGCCGACCAGGGCCACCAGGTGCTCCAGGGCCTGCTGGCGAAAATGGCTTCCCAGGACAGCTTGGACCACGTGGCTTGCCTGGCCTTAAAGGTCCCCCTGGTGAGATCGGTCGTAAAGGTCCTAAAGGTAAGAAATGCTGTAACTGGCTTTCAGTTGTTGATTGCTGCAGTTTTTTGTGTTTTGTTTTGGTTTTGTTTTTTTTTTTTTTTCTTTGGATTACAGATTGTGGATGTACGTTGTATGCATGTAAATCCAAAAAGATCCTGAATTAGCACCCTAAGATATTTCCTGCAACTGTTGCCTCAGTTGCCCCAGTGATTAATGGGCACCTTGGCCTGGCCTCAGCAAGACTTGTTTATAAATCCGTTTTTTGTCATCAAATCACTTACACAATATGAGAAAGGACAGGCATCTGCCTTGAACTAGAAGTAAGCAGCTGAGTCAGATTCCTAATATTAATTTTCCCTCTCATGGACTTTGTAGGTTTGTGTTTTTCATATGCTGAAAAGTTCCAGCAGTGATTCTGTCTTTCATCCACTCAGTCTGGTTGTGGACCTCACTTCCGCAAGACTTGCGGTCCCAAAAGCTAATGTAAACAGTCAGAGTCATTTGCTAATCTCTAGCCCACTTTTCTAAGTCTACCCAGTTTCTCACATTACAAGTGACTGATAACAATCTGCCTCTTTTATTTGGGTATAATACTTGAGCCATTTAACATCACTGCCCCATGTACCACAGTCTATTGATTCTTTGGAAAGAACAAATCCGTAATAAAATTGAATAACCTTGCACTTTACAAAAAACCTTTGATCTAAGTTAATCTCTTTTGTTCCTGACTGAGAGGGTTTATGCATCTCAAAAGGATTATATAGTAGAATTTTCTACAATGTCTTATGACCACTATGTATGTATTAGTTTCTATTCAGCAGTGGTTTCGATTAGTTTTCTTGAAGGAAGGTTTTATTTAAAAATTGTATTTCAGCACAGAGCTGGATTAGAGCATTTGCTTTTGTCTTGAATTTTATTTGAAAGTAAAATTGGGAAAACCTTTGAGAGAAGGAATAGAATACAAACAAAGCAAGCCTTAACAGCATTGTTGCTGGAGCTCTGTTACTGTTTTCATTTAGTGTAATGATGTCATCTGTATTCGCAGAAGCAACAAAAAATGGAGTCAGAAAGGTGAGCTGATACGCTGAATTTGATTCATCACACAGCAGGCTGCACTGCGTTAATATTTATTAAAAAAAAAATAATCTTCGGAGCATAAAAAACAACCCAAACAAGCAAAATGCTTTGTCTCCTATCATAATTGTCATCAAATTCTGAGTTACCTTACCTTAAATCTTGAAATACAATTACAGATACAAGAGAAGCGGTGAATGCTCTCAGGCATAAGAGATATCATGATGGTCCATGGGAGGCACCCTGAAAAAAAATCTCAGTGTTTCACTCCGCGTTCCTGGTATTTACCAGTGTTCCACAGAGGTCACGGAGATGAACTGGCTTTCCCCATCCATTTGGGGAGTTGTCTGAGACAGGAGTGAGAGGAAAAGGATACCTAGGATGTGATAAAAGGGAAAAGGAAGAGGCTGTTGAGAATGGTTTAGAAGGGCGTGAGGAGGAGAGAAACCCAAGAATGTGTTGCCACGAGATAGAGCAGAAGATACAAATGTACAGTGACTTTAACAGCATCAACAACAGCAGAGTCAAAAAATGCTGGCTCGAGGAAGGAGGTTATAGTGACTTTAATGAGCAATCTGGGGTAGTAAAGGAGGGCACAATCAGAAATAAGGAGTTGGAGAAGTTTGGGGTAACCAGCAGTAAACACTGTTCTGAAGTGTTCAGTAGCTGGAAATAGCAGAAGTATAAATGGGTGACCTGACATCAGTGCTTCTGGTAGCTGTATTTCCGAAGAGAGGCTGAATCTCCAGGTTGACTAGGCAGTCTGACGCGTAGAGATAAGATTCCTCCTGTAGTACCCTGGGTGCAGCTTTTATTGAAACTTGCACTGACTCCTGTGTGCCGTTACAGAGCTTCCTTGTTTTCTGCTGCGCCATTTCTAGGCAGGTCCCAAACTTAACGTCTATTCTACCTCTCCTCACTGCAGTGCAAGAGAGTATGGAAGTCTAAACTAAAGCTCACTCAAACATTATCAGGCAAATATTTGCAACTTTTGACTTGCAGCAGAAAGAAAATAAAATCAAGAGTTTACATAGAGTATTCACGAGTGGCAGACATAGGTACTTTTATGGGATATATACAGTGAGCAGAATTTAAACTTTACAACCAAAACAACAAAAGCTTCCTCTTACTAAGATGCTTCTTTGGAGCAACATATGAGTTTGAAGAAAAGCTGGGTACCCACCAAAGAAAAGTCTCCATAATACCAATGCACGAGAAAGAAGTCCTTTGTTTTACTTCTGTGAATGTCTTACGTGGATGTCAACAGAATACTGTCACGTGTGCAAGCCAGCTTCTCTCTTCTTCTCTGCACTAGCTGTCTTGAGGACCAGCACTTGAAAATTTTTACTTATTAGTGGAGTTCACATGGTCTTGCAAAAGCCATTTACCAGTACCTCAGTCTGTATTCCAAAATAGCCTGTGTCGTTCAGCGAGTTTGGTTTATTCCTGTTACACAGGCAATGACATATTTCATGTGGTACTTACTTACTGTCCAGCCCCAGGCGGGTGGGTTTTTTTCCCCTCCAACAAATCTACTTCTGAGTGTAACTCAAATGGGGGGAAAAAAATTCAAACAAACCCCAAACCTCTTACAAGGACACGTGTCAGGGCATCAGTCAAAGGTGCTAAGAACATATACAGCCACCTGAGTTCTTTGCTTATTAGCCATTCACCTCTGAGAGGCTGTAACTAATACTTCATTACTTTACTTTAGGTGAACCAGGAGAAAGAGGAGAAAGAGGATTTCCAGGCAGAGGACTGAAAGGTTACCCTGGACCAAGAGGTCTTCCAGGTAAGTATAACAAGGATGAGGATAAAGAAGGAAAGATGTAGTAAAGATTTATTCAGCGCTGATACCTCAAGCTGCCTTGAAAAGATAAAAGGTGTCCAATGAACAATAAGCTTCCAAATAACAGCACTTCATATTTATTTTATGCGTATGTAATACCGCAGTCACAAATTAGAATTAAAAGCTCTTTTACTAAAGAGCTACCACCTCTTTTATCCCAGTGTAGAAAGACTAGGAAAAATGTATACAAAGCATTAAAAAAAAGAGGCAGTCACATATGTGTATATATGTGTGTGTATTTGCCTCTTTTAAAATATAAATATTTATTTATATATAAAATAAAAGGAAAAAAGGAAACAAACCCCAAATTATCTCACTGGCAGCCTCAGCAGTCTTCAAAATCTCCACTCATAATTTAGGACATTGGAAATACAATTCGCCTTTATTTTTGTGGTGATTAATTGCAGTGTTATGTAATAGGGGGGCCAGGACAGGCTCTGGCTGGTAAGTAAGTGCAGCACAACTGGCCTCTAGCGGCCAGTGACTGGAAAGAAACGCGTTATTTCCATCGGTCTCTCTCCACAGTGCGCTTCTGTGTGTGTATAGAGAGACAGGAACTACCAAAATGTGTTCTCTTTGTAAAAACGACAGGAAAAAAAAAATAATCAGTTGATTATATACCAATACCTAGGATGTTCTGTGAAACTCGGAGTTGTCTGCTTCAGAAATTTATCACTGAGAGAGGCTTACTAACAAGCGCTGTATTTCATCCCTTCGTTGAAGATTTAGAAGTAAAAAGACACTTGAGCGCGCAGCAGTTCCACTCTGTACATCTATTTCTCCAACGTATCTGAGTGGAGAATAAAAATAAATTTTTGCTGTGACTCCTTCTGGAGCGCTAACATAACTCCGAAGTGGTGAGCAGCGTCTGCCCCTTCGTACGCACCGCCGGCAGGGTTGCACGCAGCGCTGCCCTCAGTTACACCGCATAGCTTTTCATAGCAGCAGAGCCGCGCCGCTGTAATGGGAGAGGGTTGGGCCTGGGATTTCATTGCTGTAGATGTGCAAACACAGCCTGGTTGTCTATTAGAGGACAACTGCCCCTCTAAGCAGGCACCTTGCTGGGGAATCCAGGTGGAAAGCCATCGTTGTACAGCCTTGAAGAACAGGATGTTCAGCAAAGCTACACGTATACCAAACAAGTCACATGCTGCCAATTTATAGACCTGTGTCCACTTTCCCAGGTGAACCAGGCAAACCCAGCTATGGCAGGGAAGGCCGTGATGGTGAACGAGGGCTCCCTGGAGTGGCTGGTCAGCCTGGGGTTCCTGGTCCTCCTGGCCCTCCCGGCCCTCCCGGGTACTGCGAGCCGTCGTCTTGCCGAGTGCAGGCTGGACAGAGAGCTGGTAAGAACATGAAAGGGCCATGAGTGGGCAGCGCAAGTGCCACGAAGTGTCGGCATCAATTTACGTCCTGCACAGACAGCTGAGAAAAAATAAGGAATGAAGGAGAAATACAAACAAGGAGAAACCTTTCAACCAAGGTTTCAGTAGGGCATGTTTAACGCAGTGGTTGTACATCCTTTCCAAAGGCGTACTTAGCAACACACGCTGGAACAATGGTGCTTACAGGTGATGCCTTTCCGGCTCTTTCTCCCTTTGCGGGGGGGGGAGGGGGGGAAGGCACTTGTCTATTCTTATTTTTATTTTGTTTTTTTAATAAAGAGTTTCTGTGATTTCTCCTCCTCCCCTACTTAACCCTATGTATGATGTACAGTGAAATAACGTGTCTTCAGCCATCAAATAAAAAAGGAACAGTTTATTTACTTCAGTTGTAGCTATTCTTTTATGCTTATAACATAAATTGCGGAGCACTCCCGAGCAAATTACATCACTTCATGCAGTCATTTCGTCGTGTGTGTGTGCTGTACAGGCTATGCTAAGCCTCCCTCAGCTCGTCAGTTGAACTGCAGAAACACAGTTCTTTATGAAAACCCACCACCCCGACACCTTTTGTGCTGTAAATCTCTGTAAAGGTACCATCACTGGGGTCTCGTTAATAAGCCATGTGGAATAACCTCTTAATTTTCCACTCTAATTTGTGTGGCATCTGTAATGTTGTATGAAGCCTATTCCAGCGTGCCTCCTCCTCTGTTGAATTAAAATAAAAGGCAAGAAGCCACTGTCAAGGGAATTTTAAGTCCCAGAAATATAAAAGTTTTATAGTAGAGATTACAGATTTTGAAGTAACATCTGTGGTTGTACAAAAAACTCCAAATAAATAATGTTTTAACCCCCTATATGTTTTTGTATGTATGGTCACATTCAATACCAAAGCCCAGAACAGCTAGATGACTGCGACTAGCCCACCCAAGTTGCCTTTTTAGACCAACTCAGTTTTTAGAGGAAAGTGTGCAGTGTGGCCAGCAGATCGAGGGAGGTGATTCTGCCCCTCTACTCTGCCCTGGTGAGACCTCACCTGGAGTCCTGCGTCCAGCTCTGGAGTCCTCAGCACAAGAAGGACATGGAAGTGTTGGAGCGGGTCCAGAGGAGAGCCACAAAA